ATGCTTACTTTGAGTTTGGTATTCATATTTGGGACATTGCAGCAGGAGAACTGATTATTAATGAAGCTGGAGGAGTTGTTGTGGACCCTGCAGGAGGGCCCATTGATCGTATGTCACGGAGAATGTTATGTGCAGGCTCCAGCGCTTTAGCTGAGGAGATATCACAAAAGATTGTACAATATTACCCACAACCAAGGGATTAAAAAATAGAGTACTTGAAATGAAAATAGTAGAAAAATACAAATATCTCAGGATTTAAAAACTAAACGGTATTCATGATGAAGGAAATTTTAAAATACTTTTGAACCTTCTATTATGTTCTAAGAGATTTTGAAATTATTTTTAAATTTATCCAATGAAGGCACACTGTTGCAAGAGGGGGCTTCCTTAAGAATTATTTTTTCGATTTTAAACGTTACATTTATTGTTTTTTAAGTCACTCTTAATTAACTTATCAGTATTTATTTCTGCTACCCCTTTAGCAATGGTCTATAATGTGAATATCTATTTCAGTTTTTAAATTGACCCCATAATTACTATCAATCGTTGTAAGCCATAATTATTTTACTTTTATATGTTTCTATTGATATTACTAACATGAAGTTTTTTATTACTTTTTGAAGTATTTATTCAATATAATAGGTACCTAAAAATTATTATACTCTAAATTTTGTTGCTTGAATAATACCGACGTTGGTTAATAAAAATGAATGTTTAAGAGTTTTTTTTTCGTGGTTTAATTCAATATAGTAAAATTAAGACCAAATGGGAATTAGATTCGTCCTAAATGAAGTTCGATTCGCATACAGGCGGTTCTGTACCAACCTAATGGATACGTTAAAGTTTACGAAAATTTTCATTAATTCTGATCTTTTTCATAATTTTCGATTCAGTGGTTTGGGAAACATACTTTTTTATACGCAATTTTAAAAACAACTCTCAAAATATCTTAGCTCTTTTTCAGCTTCTACAAAATTATTGTTAATTGTCATCCTTTATTCATAGTTTTGAGAGGTAATTTCAACTTTCTACGTTAAATCGTTTTGAAGATAACTGGTAGACACATGAGTTGAAGATTCGATTGAGGCATAGAACCCTGAAAAGTACTAAACAGCTACTTCAATATCTGAATTAAATATAGCGTTTACGTAGGTGGCAGGTATTATCAAATTAAGTCTCGGCATTCTTAGAACAGAGTGTCGGGCAGTTGGTTATCCGTGGCATAAGAATACATGAATTTTCGTGAAAGTTTTGGGCGAAGTTATCGAATGATGTGCATTAAACTTAAAACCATCGAAAAAGTTCATCGTGACATCAACATCACTAAAAATACAGGGGTGCTTCTGAGTAAAATCATTGAGTGAGACTCGAGTAGCACAGAACCTCTAGTATCTCACTTAAGAACAAAAGCAGTTTTTCAATATCAAATTATTAGAATGAAATTTACTTAAAGAAAAATTAAATTTAACATTTCGGAAAATGAGTAAGAATAAGGTTGTAACACTACCTTAATGAAAGTTTCTAAACGTCAGCCTCAAAAAATAAAAGATCATAATTTATAGTTTTAAAATTGTACTTACCTTTACAACCACTTTCAAAGGGTTCTTTCTTCCAACTACTCTTTCTAAACCGTAGTTAGCCTTTCTGTGTCATCAAAACCACTGTAGTCTTCTCTTCTCATTTATGTGACTAAAATTGAAAGAACAAAACAAATTAATTTCTTATAGCTTCACAAAATATATTTTCAGCTGAAATAATACACTGACAATAAACAAGCAATGCTTTAAAATTTTATAGTTATACGTTGTCTTATTAAATAAACAAACAAAAACAATAAGCATCGGTTGTCTATTTGAAATGAGTGATTAAAATAAATTTGTTTATTTATAAGTTATTTAATCAAAGAAATGTAACTTTATTTTAATCACCTATAAAATATATTCTTTTGGCTAATGAATGTACTCATTAAAAACCGGTTCTCAAAAGTACCTTTCTCAGTGTTTCACCAAATAGCTTCTTTTTTCAAGACACCTCCGGTATTCTCTGTAACAAAAACCTTTTCATAAAATCAGGATCAAGATATACACATAGATAAACT